AACTATGATCGAGTTTAAATTTGTATAGAACTCATTAAGATGAAGAACGAGTTTAGTGAAACCTACATCACAAAACAATAAAACTTGTTTAGACTGAGAACAAGTTCAATGAGATCCACCTCACAAAATGAAACTTGGTCTTGGTCTGAACAAGTTTAGTGGGACCCACAATCCTTTTGTCTTCTATCTTCATACTCTCCACGTGATTTTTTTCTTTCTTATTTGACTAGACCCCATGCTTTTTCTTTTTCAACCACACACACAAAGCTGCTCCTGGTTGATTTCCTTCCCCAAATACTTCCATCAATATAGGGGCTCAGGAAGTAGTCATTCGAATGTCTTCAATTCATGCCCGGTAAGTATTTTTTTTGGCATGTGAGTGTATAGTGTACATTCTATCATTGTCTATATAATGCATGCAATTTTTTACTCAAATCTACCTCCCTTCTCGTTCCTTCTCAAATTCTTCTCAAAGTTCTCCAGCTTCTTCCATTCTTTTTTCTCCTTCCACACTTTCGTTCTGTGAAATCGGTGGTATGTGTGGTCTTGCAAATATTGTATACGTTTTATCTCAACTTGAAACTTGATTTTTCTTTTGATTGAGGTATATTCTCTTGATTAATTTTTTTAAAAAAAATTTTTGTATGTGTTTTGCTAAATGATGGATAAGAATTTTGTATTTAGTCATTTTTACATATTAAATTCTATATAAAATAAATTGTAGTTTACTTTTTTTATAATCTGACTATATATATCTTTTTTTTTTAGTAGATAATGTTCAAGTAAATATGTAGTCAGATTAAATATGTTTCTAGTTAAATTATGTTTTGTTGTGAGCTTAGTTTGGTCTTCTATCTAGCCAATGAAAATTAGTACTAAATAGTGCCAAAATTTTCTTGATAAAAAGAGTATTCATGGTGGGATTATTAATAATAATAAAAAGGATTTTTTTTATTTTTTGGGAAAATTAGAGAGCCAGACCTAGAAAAAGCAATATTTATTAAAGAGGATCTTATAAATTATAATTATTTAAGGAGACCAAATAATAAAATATAAATTAAAAAAAAACTCAACAGCAATGGCTAATTATTTTGTCATATTAAGTAATTATAATTTTTAAATAACTAGTGTGAAATAGTTATTAACATTTCTTTTTGTTTTCAATCATAGGGATGCTTTTTTTGGGTCACTTAAATAGTACCTAATATAAAATTACACAAGTGCATTTATTATGAACTTATCATTATTCAATGTAAATTTTGCTTTATGCGTTAGTCAAAGTATATATCTCATCAGAAGCCTTTATTGATAGTACAGAAATTAGAGGCTCAAAGGAATATAAGAATTCTTTAATAATATAGATAAAGTAAAATTGAACATTTGAAATATGAAGTTGGGACTAAGAGAAAAATGAAGCAGAGGCAATTTTTTGAATAAAAAACTCACATTTTCAAATTAATTTATTTAATCAAATATTTATCTAATTTAATCATTCAAAATATCCAATAATGAAGCATAAGTTAGAGAAAATTTAGGAAAGTAGTTAACGGGTAATTTAATATTTTAAATATATTTGATCCTTTCAAATAGTTATAATTTTTAAGATCCTTCTAATAATGAAGCAGAGGCAATTATTTTAGCTCATACTTTTTTATAATATTTAATTATAATATTATTTGAATAAAACGGAATGTATGAAATAATGAATAGAAAATTATATATTTATATATTAGAATTTATAATACAATTTTAACATATAACATTTATTTTAAATTTAAGTTATTTTTTAATTTATTAAATTTAACATATTAATATTTTTATTGTAAATATATTTTTATTATAAATGTTCCACAGTCATTGTTCATTTAAAGATATTATAGGTTATTATCTTACTTAAAAATGTAAATGAGTTTCTTAATAAAAAAATAGCCTAATTTTTATAACTCTAAGTAAATGATTATTCTACAACTTTATTTTCAAAAATATATAAATAATTGAATTAAAAATAATGGTATTATGGAGTTAATTTAGTTTTACAATTCATATATTTTCTACTCTGATCATGTATTAAGGCAATTCGGTCATTAACAACCTACTCCTATCATGCCTGTTCATTTAAAAAAATTACCATATAATATAGCTACTTGGCAGAATAACCACAAATTGGAGTCAATAATACTCAAACTTCATTGAAGCATGGAATGGATAGCCATACACTGTTGTTGATACTTTGCTGGCACTTGGTGAACTTAATCGAATATTTGAGTACATGAAATGCTATTGAAGACATATAAGACGATGGATCCAATGAGTTAGTAGTGATACTAGCTATGTAGTAAGGCTTTTTTAGTTTTTTTCAATCAATATCATCATTTTCTTTTATACAAAATTTTTTTTCAACGTTTATTTATTTCAGGCTGATATAACAAAACAGTTATATAGGCTAACGATTAATTCTCGTTCAACATGTTCTAATTGCATTAATTATCTAAAATGAATTGCTCAAGACCAACGTAGCATCTTACTCGCAATTAGAGAACAACGATTTAATATGAACCCTCAATCAGTTCCACCAACAGTTGAGTTGCCCTGTCCACAAATTTTTCAAGATAGACCAAGCAAATGGCATGGTGGTTACTTGTTTACTCAGCCACCAATTGTAAATGAAAATTTAAGGGAACAAGAGCATAAAAAATTTAGTCATTCTGATAACATATCAGTCTCATCATCTTCCAATCCAACTCAATCTTACCCTCATCACATGCTATCATCATTAACATTATCCCATTCTGACTCACCCAATCCTCCTCAATTTCAATCATTTGTATCCTTATTTGATGATCCTGCATTATTTATAGATCAATATAACACTTCTTCTTTTGAGCAAGGTGGTCCATCAGATGAAGCATTTGTCATCCCTCGGCAATCACTTTCTTCAGTCAAATCACCTTGGTTTGATTTAGATACACCAACTATGTAAACAAACGAGACATTAGATCAAACTCAAGAAGTAGATATATAACAACAACCACAGCATGCACGAAGGAGACCAAGATATGGCATCGGGAGTCATTATTTGTTAGGTAAATTAATTCTTATTTTTTGTTCATGTCAATTTAATTATTATTTATTATTAATTTTATAAAACTTAATCATTACTTATTTTCATTAATCACTTTTAATTAATGTAATATATTACTATTATCATTACATAATGAATAACTCATTATTCTAATGATATGATCATTATTAAAATTCTTGTAGGGGTATTTGTGTGGTGAGAGATTGGAAAGAAGTTTTTCAAAGGTTGATGAAGTTTAAAAGTTGTTCATACCAAGATGAAGTTCAATTGCATGCGAAACAACATTTATTGAAGAAATTGTTCTTATTTAGATGAACTTTAAAAGATGTTCAAGTCAAAAACAACTTTGACTGTAGTATTTGGGGAAATAATTCCACTATACAGCATTTGAAGAAATTCTTTTACTGTTTGTAGTCTATTGATAAAAATTTCTTCTAAAAAGATTATCACTCAATTATTGATACTTCTAATCTTTAATATAAGAGCTAGTTGGAGATTCAATTGGATTCTAAATATAAGATCCCAATCTTTTTTGTCTGTAACGTTATTTATCCATTTTATCTTTAAATAATTCTCATGGTGTGGTTGCACATAAGGAGCCTCCATCACTAAGTATTTTCAATGCACATAATTAATAAAGATATTTTAAGAAGAATAACAGTTATTTATTATAAATAACTAACATAATTAATTTTTTTAATATTCACAAACTAGTTATCTATTTCTTATATTGAAAATCAAAGGTAGTATTTGTTAAGATTTGATTGCCACATTAACATCTGTCAGTTATATTTGCGTAATCATCTTTTTCAAATAAAATTCCAAATGATAGTGTTTAGATTTGTGCATATTCCTATATATAATAATAACAAAATAATCAGAGCGAGTGCTATCATATATATGTGACATGAAAAACTTTTCAACAAAGTCTTCTTACCTGTTAGCAATTGGAGAAGATACCATGCACTAACAGCTAGTATTACAAAATCCTATATCCTCACTATCCTCAGAATCTAAGATAACGAAAGGACATTCATCAATAGGAAACATCAGAGTCCCAAGCCATGTGTCTGCTTATTCCTTGAAGCAGACATGAGATTTCAGCTCCAGAGAAAGTCACAGGAGAGCAGTAGTACATTGATAAAACCAGACATGGAGAGGCTGGTTAGGTTAAACAATCATTGCATTAATATGCGTTCATAAAATTACCAAAACAATCCTTCCTCTATTGCTAACTATTTATGTCAAGTTATTTTCAATGGTGACGATTCAGCCATGGTTCTCCTTGATCCATCATATGTGGCACCATTATTATGATGTTTTTGACACTGTTGTGTTATTCTGTTAATATAAGTCGACATTGGGACCTTTTTAAAATGTTGTAGATTCCTTAAGGGAAGATAATGTTGCAATAATTCGCATTCAATCACCACTTAAAGGATATTCTATTGAAAAAGAAACTGGCATAAGTATACACACGTATTCTGATAAACCGTTGTTACAAGCTCTTATTTTGTCACTATATCACTAAATGTAAGATAAACAAAGAACATTAATTAGAAGGCAACGTTAGAGCACTTAGCCAAATGTTGTAACTACAGCAAAGTAACCTAGCTATTCCCTAAAGCAAAATATGAGACTTGAATTTGAGACAAAGGCATTGGAAAAGTATTAGATATATAGATCAAATCTGTCTTCAAGGATGTTGCACCCACTGCTTGATCTGCTGCACTTGCATCCCGTAGCCAAAACATATCGAACAATAAACAACATAAAAGAAAGAAAAAGAGCCAGATCAGAACTAAATTTGTTTTAACTAAAAGAAGAAAAAGAAAGATAAATGATCATGCAAATCAAAGAGACGATAACTTCTGAAATATGTGGTAGCTATAATCCATTACGTACCTCAACAACAATTTTAACTCGTTCCAAATATTCGATGGAAACTCTTAAGCGTGAGGGCCACATGGACATAAAGTCGGTCGACCAAACTGTCAAATGATTGGAAAAATCTCTGTCCCCATGGTCTGATGAGGAAGAGAGAACCACAAACTACCCAGAAGCCTACTGCAAATCCCACTCCCATCCCAAGATACAATGACTTCAAAAAGCTGTCATCTTCGTTCCCTTCAACCAACTTTGGGTTGTGAGCTTCTTTCTTGTTGCACTTTATTGGAAGAGGAACCCCACAAAGTTGAGGATTGCCAACAAAACTCCAAGATTCAGAAGTCTGAATTTGAGTCCCTAAAGGGATTTGTCCAATGAAATTGTTGTATGAGAGGTTCAAAACTTCAAGAAATGATATATCAGAGATGGTTGGAGGAATTTCCCCGTAAAGCCTATTGTAGCTGAGATCAAGAGATTCCAAGTTTTTCAGATCTCCAATTTCTCTAGAAATCATTCCAGTCAAATGGTTTCGAGACAAGTTCAAGGACCACAATAGAGTCAAGTTAAACAACCCCTTCGGGATTTCTCCTGATAAATTGTTGGAAGAAAAGTCAACAATGTACCTTGACAATAAATCAGGGTAATTTAATTCCCTTCCCTTAGAAAATAAATTTGTTTCCTTATAGAAATAAAAAAAGGTCCATAAAGTTCTAGGATCAAACTGCATGATGTTATACAAGCATGGTGGTATGGATCCTGAGAGCTTGTTATCAGCAAGATCAATTACCATTAGAAAAGACATGTGGCACAGCTGTGTTGGAATATTGCCAATAAATTGGTTGGCCCTCACTTTGAAAACGACCAAATTTTGCTGCATTGTATTTGGCAAACCTCCTGAAAATTTATTTCGCTCAAGCGCGAGGTATTCCAAATTTGTCCAGTGTGATAAGTTTAACGAAAAGTTTCCAGAGAAACCATTATCACACAGAGACAACAAATGAAGATTTGTTAATAGAGCCATTGAGGGAGGAAGTTCACCATATAGCTTATTACCCCTCAAATTAAGGTAAACTAATTGTTTCCAACCGGCCCAGCAATCAGGGAGTGATCCACTTAAATTATTATGTGATATATCCAAAATAGACAGCATGTTTTCAGCCCTATTACTCTCTCTGGGGCATAGGAAGGCAGAAATGGATCCTGAGAACGAGTTATGAGAAGCTTGAATGTACATAACGTTTGCTGATATGTGAGGGAGGCCTCCGGTAAAATTGTTATAGTCCAAACGTATATCTCTTGAGTGAAGTGTCACATTGGATATGTCTCCACTGATGAAGTTGTTTGATAGGTCAACTTCATCAATGCTTGCTATGAAGCCCCACAATATATCTGCATCAATGTTTGAAATCTCTGATCTAGAGATTTGGAGCCTTTCTAGAGACCTTTGTGTATATAGCCAAGTTGGAAAATTAGGACCTAAGCTTGTATTTGCTGAAGAGAAATATTTGAGTTGAAATGGTGGCACCCAGTTAGGATCAAAGTCAAATTTAAAACTAGTTGAACTCAAAGCTAGTGATGCTAAGCTTGATAGGTTGGCAAAGTTCTTTTCTGAAAGGACACCTGACCAAGAATTGCCATCAATACTTAAAGATTTTAAGTTATGAAGCTTTCCAAGGCTTTTGGGAAGATTTCCTCTGAAATGATTGTGAGACAAATCTAAGGAAATCAAGGAAGAAAGGTTTCCAAGACATGATGGAATAGAACCATTCAACTGATTAAGATAGATTTCAAAATGCTGCAACTGTTCATGTTGGCAAATCCAATCAGGAATTGATCCCTCAAGATTATTTAAACTCAAATTTAAATGCTTGAGGTTTTGAAGATGGTGCAAGGCTTTTGGTAATTGACCATAGAAATTACATCCCAAAAGGTCGAGGTGATAGATGTTACTGGTAATATTAAAGAATGAATTGGGTATTGAGTTGATACAGTTGAAAGAAAGATCAAGAATTTCAAGTGATGTAAAATTGATATAATCAAGGGAAGGAAAATCTGTGAGTCCACAACCCCTCAAGTGTAACACAGAGAGTGAAGGAAGCATGGATATATGGTGGAGCCATTTGTTTTCATTTCCAATATCACTGTTAGTGAGGTCAAGATATTTCAAGGAAGAAAGTTGAGAAAGCCAATGAAGGTCATTGATGACTAAACCATTAACTGAAAAGTCAAGATAACGTAGAGCAACAGAAAAGCATGCTGACTGATTCGAATGGGTAGGAAGTGATTGGTTGTGAAATTTGTGAGCATCAAAAGGAGATTTGGAGATTTGGCATGGTGGCATACTCACAGTTTTGAAGTCATTGTGGCTCAGGTCCAAGTGGTTGAGGAATTCAAGTTGAAGCACACACAGATTAATGTCACCTCGCAATGTATGATTGAAAAGAGAAAGCTTTGTGACTCTTCCGGTCATGTTGTTGCAGTGAACTCCCTCCCATAAACAGCAATCTTCTTCGGTAGTCCAAGAAGAGAGTTGGTTATATGGATCAACCACTCCTTGTTTGAAGATTAAAAGCAGCTTTTTATCATTTTCATTGCAACTGATCACCCTGTTGAATGTTGTTGTAAATAGCAGAAACAACAAAACAGAGGAAATTTGTGAAGCGAAGCTAGCCATTGGGGTAAGTTTGAGAATAGTGGCCTCAACTTGAGAAGTCTTTGCATCATATGTATATATACTGGAAAATCAGAAACTACGTGGTAAATCTGCTGCAAGTCTTCTCATTCTCCTTTGAATTTTATGGGAAAAAAAAATATAATATTTATGAAGCATGAATCTTATACTATGAATTTTGCAATATGTCTGTATGATGGGTAAGGGAGAAGTGAAGCGTTGGGTGGCGTATTTATTGCAAGTGGGAAAGGGAGACTGATCGGCTTAGCCGCCGTTTGTCTTTGGTCCGCCCTTTCCCGCAGCTTCCCTCCTCCGTCCCACGTGTTTCGCTCTGTTCTTTTCCTGACAACACGTGATTTAATGGCAATAAAAAAAACTGGAGACAACCCACTCCACAAGCATACTAATTAGAATTTTGTATAAATATATATATATTTTTTCCGGTGTAAACATACATATAATTTCTTTAAATTATATTAATTTTAATAATATATCTTAAAATATTTTTTCAGTAATGCCCTGTATACTGAAATAAATTTTTTTGGTACAATCAATATCATACAATATTTTTTCAATAGTGGTTAGTGTTCCAAAAATACACTTAGCACACTTTGTTACTGAGACCTAAAATTATTTTAAGACACTAAATGTTTCTAGAAAAATCTTTCAGGGTGCTGACTAGAGTCAAAAATTATTTTAAAATACTGGGTGCTCTTGAAAGAAATATTTGAGAATGTTGACTATATTTTTAGGATATTAGGTGTTACTGAAAAAATAACTTATGGTGCTGCCAAAAATTATTTTAAAAAAGTGAGTGCTCTTGAAAAATATTTGAGTGTTATTAGAAACATAATACTTTTTTTTCTTGTCATGAAGAGATTGGGTAGGAAATATAAAATTTTTATACCATTCAATAGTGATATTAATGCCCCTCGCACTGCAGAAACAGGCAAATGACTCTGCCTCGATAACCAAGGCATGACTCTGTTATTCCAAACGGCATAAACCAAAATGGAACAGAGCAATCACGTGGAACACCATTCATCAGAAGTTTCTTGCTACCCACTACTATTGATGCTTAACGTAAGATCTAGTTTAATTTTTAATTTAATTTTAAATATAAGACTCTAATTCATTTTGTCTTCTATGTTTATCTTTTTTTTAAAAAAAAAACAGTTTTTGTAATAATTGTACACATTAAATGTTCTATCAAATGGTAGTTCTAATTAATACACATTATTAGTAATACTCCTCCGGTCCTTAATATAGGATCTAATTTTTGAGTTGGTTTTGGTTCTAAATATAAGACCCATTTCTCATATTTATCAATTTTCTCTAAATTACCCTTATGGATATTTTCTCAACCATAATCAAGTAGAAGAGGGAGGGAGGTATTAAGAAAGATAATTATAGTGTTTTAGGAAAGTCACTTTTTTTATAATTAACTAACTTACCTAATTTTCTTAATCTAATCAAATAGTTAAATGGGTCTTATATTAAGAATCGGATGAGTAGTATTTTAGAGAAGATAACACCTCTTTATAACAAATAAGTAACTTAACTAATTTTCTTGATCTACTCAAATTAATCAATTAACTTTTACATTAAGAATTAGAGATAGTATTATATCGTGTACAAGTAGAGTACTGACCAAGTGCACAAGACTCTCAATCTCTCCTATGGTGGAGCCTGAGAAGGGACATAGCTAATGAGAAGGAACGAGGCTTGTTAGTTTAGCACTGGGGAATATAATACTCTTTCAGTCTTTAATGTAAGATCTATTTAACTAATTTGATTAGATTAAGAAAGTTAGGTAAATTAGTTAATTATAAGAAATATGATATGTTTTTCTTAAAACACCATAATCATTTTTCTTAATATCTTTTCTTCCTCTTCTACTTGATTATGATTGAGAAAGTATCTATAGGGTTAATTTAAAAAAATTGATAAATATAAAAAGTATGTCTTATATTTAGAATCAAAATCAAGTTAATAATTAAGTTATATAATTTGCTTATAAGCAGGCGCTGCTTCTAGGTTACCAGGTAAAGTAAAGCCAGTTTATGAGACAATCAAAGCGCAATGACTACTTTAAAGTTCAGGAAGAGGCCACGTGTTTTATAACAGAGGCCAGGCAATATTTGTTCTGAAATTACCAAACAGCCCATGAGCACATGCCTTCACGAAATTACCAAAACAACCCTCCCTCTATTGCTGCCGGTTGATGTCAAGTTCTTGTCGACGGTGACGATTCAGCCATGGTTCTCCTTGATCCGTCATATGTGGCACCATTATTGTGACGTGTTTGGCACTATCGGGTCATTATCGTGTTAGTACAAGTCCTAAGTCGAGATGGGGACTTTTACAATCACTGCTTAAAGGATGTTCCATTGAAAAAGAAACTAGTATGAGTGCACACAGATATTCTGATAAAACGTTATTACAAACTCTTATTTTGTCACTATTTTACTAAATTTAAGATAAACAAAAAACATTACTTAGAAGGGAACACTGGAGCTCTAACTGTCAGCAAAGCATCCTAACTATTCCCTGAAGCAGAATATGAGACTCGAATTTGAGACAGGCATCATTGGAAAAGTAGTAGATATATAGATCAGATCTGTCTTCAAAGAGGCTACACCCATCGCTTGATATGTTGCACTTGCGTCCCATAGACAAAGCGTGTTGAACAATAAACAACATAAAAAAAAAACCAGTAAAGAAGTAAATTTGTTTAACTAAGATAAGGAAAAAGAAGATAAACTTTCATCCAAATAAAGGAGAGATGTGACCTTCTTTTCCTTTTTGGAAATATATGATAGTTAAGTCATTACCTCAATAGTAACTAAATTTGTTCCAAATAGTCGACCGAAATGTTTAAGCATGAAGGCGACGTTGACATAAAGTTGATCAACGAAACTGTCAAATAATCGGAAAAATCCATGTCCCCATGCTCTAATGAGAAAGAGAGAACCACAAACTCCCCAAAAGTCTCCTGCGACTCCAGTTCCTATCCCAAGATACAATGACTTGAGAAATGTATCATATTCATTTTCTTCGCCCAACTTTAAGTTTTGAACTTCTTTCTTGTCACACTTATTTGGAAGAGGGTCTCCACAAAGTTGAAGATTGCCAACAAACACCACAAAAAAACATCAAATTAGTGAAAGAATTTACTTTCAAAATTTTTGTCACTATTCAAAATTAGTTACGGATTAACGACAGAATTTAGTTAGTGATACCGTCACTAAATAATTAGTGATGGAATTCAAAATTTCATTACTAATTAGGATGAATTACTGACAATTTAGTGATGAAAATTAGTAACAGAAAATTTTTGTTACTAATCTGCTGCTAATTAGAGACGGATATCCTATAAAAATTCTGTCACAAATTAGGAATGGAAAATTCCGTCACAAATTGGTGATTGAAATTTCCGTCACTAATCCGTCGCTAAATTTTTTTATTTTATAAATTCAAAATACCACATGGCAACCATTGATCACCGCGACGTGTTATGTCTGTGACTGCCACCTTATCACCAGCTACCACCTCAAATTCTCCTCTCTCTCCCATGCTGCCATGTCATCCCCTCATCTACATCATCGCCATGTGTCCGTCACTATGAGCCGCAACGTCATCAATGGTTGTCACCTTACCAACTCCTCTCTCCTATGTTATCACGTCATCTCTTTATCTATGTCATCACCACTTGTTCATCATTGTGATCCATCATGTCATCACTGGACGCCACCTCGACTTCTCCTCTCTCCCATGCGGCCATGTCATCCTAGCATCCGCATCATCGTCACGTGTCCATCATTATGAGCCGTCATATCGTCGTCTTGTCCACATCATCACCACGTCACAAATTGAGCCAATTTGTGAAGAAGTATTGATTCAAACCCGAGACCTCATGTGTGCTTGCTAAAGCCTTTACCAGTTGAGCTGAAAAACACTTACAAAATTTTTATACAAAAATAAATATATAATATTTGTAATAAAAATACAAATATATATAATAAATATTACATACATAATTTAATATATATGATACAATTTAATATATTATTATTTAATTGAATTTTATTTTTATATTTTAGTAAAAATTTCTAATAATTTATATTTTTATTCAAATATTTAAAAAATAATAAGGATATTATTTATTTTTATTTTTATTTTCTTTTATATTTATATTTTTTAATTTTTATATAATATATTATTTTAAAATTATGATATATTATATTTTTATTTTAATAATAAGTTTAAAAAATAATTATTATATATTTATATTATATCTTTTTTTGTGACGGATTAGTGACGGAATTGCAACGGCAATTAGTGACGGAAAAACTTAGTCACTAATTTCCGTCACAAAATGAGAGTTAGTGATGAAAATTAGTGACAGAATTTTTCGGTCACTAATTTCCATCACTAATCATTTAAAACAAAATTAGCGATGGACTTGTGACAGAATTTAATGGAGGAAAAAAATTATATCACTAATCCGTCTCTAATTTAGTGACGGCACTAATTTAGTGACAAAAATTTTTCGTCACTAAATTCTGTCGGTAATTTTAATGACGAATTTTGTTAGGGATTAGTGACAGATTAGCAACGGAATAAAATTGTTGCATGAGAAATTGTCCAATGTAATTGTTGCATGAGTCCTTAAAGGAATTTGTCCAATGAAATTTGTCAGGGATTAGTGACGAATTAGTGACGGAATAAAATTCTATCACTGATCTCTTGTTTTTTTGTAGTGAAAACACCAAGAATCAAACCTCTAAATTTGAGTCCCTAAAGGAATTTGTCCAATGAAATTGTTGCATGAGAGGTTCAAGTAAGCAAGAAAAGATATATTAGAGATGGTTGAAGGAATTTCTCCATAAAGTCTATCGTGGCTGAGATCAAGAGATTCTAAGTTTTTCATGCCTCCAATTTCTTTGGGAATCTTTCCACTCAAATGGTTTTGAGACAAGTTCAAGGACTACATTTGACTC